GCATCTTGTAATGTTGTCCTAGGTAGAGAATGGTTGCATCAAACGTATGCTATCCCTTCTTCTTTGCATCAGAAAATAATACTACGGAATGGTGATCAATACGAAGTATGTGTGCTGATGTAGAAGCTTTTATAAATGATACTAACCAAGATTTTTCCAGAATTCTTGTGAAGTCAACACCAAAAACGGATGAGATTGTACTCAAACTTGATTCCCAGACAACTCAAAAACTAAAAGTGGTATCAAGTGCAATCGCAAAAATAGAAGAGGCAAATGCAGATGAAGATAAACACAATTCACCTGCAGAATCTAGCTCTAAATTTGGAGTACTTAAGATTGGATATGTTTAGTATCTTTTTTACGTACATTTGTAGTTTGAACAAATTTTATGGAAAATTACATGAAAAGCAAATTCAGATCTAGTACTTTATTAGCTCTTTAAAATCTATATGCGAGTTATAATTCGCAACATAATATAGAGGTTAACACAAACATGGAGACTCCTTAATGTTTATCTGACTACTTAAACTCTGATGACCATACTCGATCATCGCCAAGCTCAGCAAAGAATTTATGGTGGAGAAGAGAATGAAAAAGTATGGGCTAAGAGTGAAGATATCAAACAAGAACTAATGATTGTCCTAATGATTCACTTATGTAAGTGAAGAATTACTCGATAAGGATAAGTCATTATTGATTGACATACTTCATAAATACAAGGATTGTTTCGCATTAGTATAGATCCTTCTATTATCTAGCATAGTCTTTATATTAAACCTTGTTACAATCCTATAGTTTAGAATCCAAGATGCTTATCGCCAAAATTAATTCCAAAAATAAAAGAAGGAATTGCCAAGCTCTTGGAGGCAAGATTCATACAACCCACCAAATATGCAGAGTGGATAGCTAACATTGTTCCCGTGATTAAAAAGAATTGCAAGATTAGGATATGCATCTATTACAGACATATTAACAGTGCATCCCCAAAGGATCAGTACTCCATGCCTGTAGCAGATATGTTGATAGACGCCTCATCAAGACAAGAGCTTGTATCAACGCTAGATGGTTTTGCTGGGTATCATCAAATAAGGATCGCTGTAGATGATCGCTCAAAGACGGCATCTAGATGCCCAAGTTCTTTGGGACTTAAGAATATGTGGCGATGCCATTTGGACTTAAGAATTCAGGGGCAACGTATCAAAGAGTTACGAATCTCAAATTTGATGAAATGATTGGCGACTTTATGGAGGTTTACATAGACGATGTTTTTGTAAAATCCCATGACTTATCAAAGCATTTGGGACATCTCATTCTGGCGTTTGAAAGGATGAGGAAGTTTAATCTAAAGATGAACCCCCTTAAATGTGTCTTTGGGATTAAAGCAGTGCATCCCCAAAGGATCAGTACTCCATGCCTGTAGCAGATATGTTGATAGACGCCTCATCAAGACAAGAGCTTGTATCAACGCTAGATGGTTTTGCTGGGTATCATCAAATAAGGATCGCTGTAGATGATCGCTCAAAGACGGCATCTAGATGCCCAAGTTCTTTGGGACTTAAGAATATGTGGCGATGCCATTTGGACTTAAGAATTCAGGGGCAACGTATCAAAGAGTTACGAATCTCAAATTTGATGAAATGATTGGCGACTTTATGGAGGTTTACATAGACGATGTTTTTGTAAAATCCCATGACTTATCAAAGCATTTGGGACATCTCATTCTGGCGTTTGAAAGGATGAGGAAGTTTAATCTAAAGATGAACCCCCTTAAATGTGTCTTTGGGATTAAAGCAAGTAACTTTTTTGGATCCTGGTCCATAAGAATGGTATTGAGGTTGATCAGAATAAGAGTAAGGCCGTTCTTAAAGCAACACCCCTAGCCAAAAACAAGTAGCTCCAAAAGTTTCTAGGACAAATTAATTATTCGAAGGTTTTTCACTAATCTGGCTGGGAAAATGAAAGTGTTTTCTCCTCTTCTTAAACTTAAATAAGGAGAAGAGTTTAAGTGGGAACCAGAGCACCAAGAAACCTTTGAACAAATTAAGAGGAAGCTGGCTACTCCACCAGTATTAATTCCTCCAAAACAAAATGGGAAGCCATTAAGGTTGTATCTTTTTGCTACAAAGGTTTCGATTGCAAGCATGTTAACCCTAGAGAATGAACAGGGTCATGAACATACAATTCTCTATCTAAGTAAAATCCTAAATGATACTTAAACTAGATACACTAATATTGAGAAATGACTTGAGTTTGTATGATGCTTCTATCAAGCTTAATCACTCCTTTATGGCTTTTCCAGTAGAAATTATTACACCAAAAGATGTACTCAAATACTTATTAAACCATCCTTTCATCAAAGGAAGGTTATGAAAATGGAGTATGCATCTATCAGAATTCGAGCTAACTTATGTACCTCAAAAAGCAGTAAAAGAACAAGCGTTAGTTGAATTTTTGGCTGATCATCCACCTATTAAGAATGTTACGGTACCAGAAGAGAAACCATGGACAATGTTCTTTGATGGATTTAGTAGGAGAGATTTAGCTGGAGCTGGAATTGTGATTTATTAACCTTCTGCTGGTTGATCGCCGGATAATAGGTCGTGTCTACTATCCTAAATCAAATGAAAAATTTATATACCTAATCTTACTCTATCAAGTTCACACAAGATAGTGGCAAGCTAGGGTTGAACCACAAGGAGACGGGGAAATGCACAATCAAAGTGAAATTAAGAATCTATTGCAAGGTAACAAGGGGTTTTTTTATTTTTGTTGTTTTCAATGATGAAATTAAACTACTACAAATGATAAAAGCAAACGAATGAAGAAAGTTCGAACTAGAAACACTAAAACAAGGATGACAAACCAGATTTGAGAGAAATTTGATCAAAACACTAGGGAGAGGGGGTTCCAATCATGATCAACTAAGACAACAGTGATGATCAACATGGATTCATGCCAAGGAATACAATTTCTACTCAAATAATTCATTCCCATGCAATTACTCAAGAAAATTGATGAAATAGATCAAAACTAAACTAGATAATTCCCATGCATCTAATTTAGAACTCAAGTGTTGGAATTATAGGTGCATAACAATAATCCCAAGCAATTTAAGCACAAAATCATCAACTCAAAGCCAAATCCAAACAATCATCAATATAATCTCAACTAATCATGATCTTCACCCCCTTCCCTAGCTAGAAATCTAAGCTAGAGAAGAGAAAATACCCATCACAACTACACTGAGCAAGGATTCAATCTTAACAAGGCTAAATATGATTCAAAGAAAAGAAAAGAAATCAAACAAGTAAAATCAAAGAAATAGATGGAAATCAACAATATCAAAAGCAATTAAACCAAATAAAAAGGAAAGAATAAAGAGATTACTACTATGAAACTTGAATGATGAAGAGAACATGAAATACTTGCATTGAATTTAAGAAATCTTGAAGAAATCTTAATTACAATGATGAAACATGAAGATTAAGCAACTTTCTCTCTCTAAAATCCTAAGAGTTTTTCTCTCTACAAATTTCAATTATAATCGGGAAATTAGATAATTCATAAATTCAAGAAAAAGTCTATTTATAGTGCATTACAATTCCGGAAATAACGAACTAAGTAGAGCCCTCTACAGCTGCGTCGTGCCCTCTCTCAACTAGGTACTGAAAAGCTGAACCCAGGGGGCCGCGCCAGTGGACAAATATGTCGCGCCCGCAGTGGCTGGTGGAGAGGCCTTTCTCCCCTGGGAAAAGGCCGCGGCAAATGAAAAGGGGAAGTCAGGTCTTTGAGGAACTGCGCCCGCGGCTTGTATTGCCACGCCCGTAGTGTATTGGAGAGAGCCCTCTCCAGGGTCATGGCCAGCCATCTACAGGTTCAATTGGGAACCTCCAAAACTCATCACCGCGTCCGCGGCTTATAGAAAAACTGAGCGCCCTCTCCAATGAGCAACTCTCCTCTTCCTTAGCCAAACTTTGCTCCTCTAACTTCATCAAAAAGTGCCAAAAGCCTTCAAAACTAAGAAAGAAAAGATAGAAAATAGAAGAAAAGATAAAAGAAGAGGAAAATCACGAAAATGAATAAAATAACCAAAACAAAGGTAAAAACGGCTAGAGAAGGCCCAAACAAGTGACAAATAAGGGAAAATAATTAGTAAAAAGGGGGCGAAATAGTGGCATAAATGCCACTCATCACTGGTGTATTGACTAAAATGGAGATCACTTTCTCAACTCAATGGACAAATAATAGAGCAGAGTTTAAAGCCTTAATGATTGGTTTGAGGACTCTGAAAGATATGGGAGTTACAAGGGTGAAGGTTTTAGGTGATTCACAATGGGTGATAGCCCAAGTAAACAAAGAATACATAGGAATTTCACCTCTGGCGATGACCTTTTCATCTATCGTTCAAGAGCTTATCAATGCTTTTGAATTTATCCAAGTCTCTCATATCCCAAGGGAAGAAAACAGAGAGGCTGACTTTTTGGCACAACAAGCATCGCTGCCCAATTCTGAAGGTTTTGATGAATCATTTATTTATATAATTACCTATAAATTGAAACCTTTAGATGAGAAAGTGAAGGATGAAATGCACAAATATGGTATCCTTGCTCAAGATATAGACTAGAGAGAGGAGATTAAGGAGTATTTGAAAGACCCTTCAATGGAAAAGTGCCGGCAAAAGTTAGGCTCGCAGCTACTAAATACTTTCTTATGGGGAGTAAGCTGTACAGGAAAGATCCTCAAGGCATTTTACTGAGGTTTGTTAGAACAAAGAAAGCATTTTAGCAGAGGTTCATCATGGAATTTGTGGGTCACACCAAGCAGGAACTAAGATGAGGTGGTTAATCCATCACATGGGATTTTATTGGCCTTTAGTTAGACAAGATTGTTTGCAGCATGCAAAAGGTTGTAAACAATGTCAACACTTTAGACCAATAAGTAGGGCGTCAGCAATAGAATTGCACTTCATTATCAAACCCTGGCCTTTCAAAGGTTGAACGATGGATGCAATTGGGCTAATTAAACCTCGCTCATCTGCTCAACATGAGTATACTCTGACAGCCACAGATTACTTTACAAAGTGGATTGAGGTCCAGGCCTTGAAAAGTTTAAATGCAAGGGCGGTAATATTGTTATTGGAAGAGAAAATCTTTACAAGATATGGCATTCCTGAATCCATAAATGTGGATCAAGCAACCATGTTTATAGGACATGAGTTCAATTCCTATCTCAAGGAATTCGAGATCCAAAAGATTCATTCAACGCCTTATTTAGCGTAGGCTAATGGTTAGGCTAAAGCCACTAATAAAGTAATCTCTAAAGGGATTGCTAAAATGGTGGATGAAAATCTTAAAATTGGCATAGTCTCTTGCACTATGCTACTTGGGAATATAGAACATCAAAGAGAGATGCAATAGGAACTACTCCTTACCAACTAGCGCATGGACATGAACCTGTTGTACCAGCAGAGCTAAGCGCTAAGTGTAACAAGATAGCTAAACAAATCGGTGTAAGCCAGGAAGACTATCAGCAATCTATGTCCATTAAATTGATGGACATTAAGGGTGAAAGACTCCAAGCGCTAGCTAAAATCGAAGCTCAGAAAAGACAAGTAGCAAAATCTTATAACAAAAAGGTGAAACATAAAATCTTTTTGGAAGGGATTTAGTGTGGAAGATGAAACTTCCTGAACATGATTATAAACATCATGTCTTTGGTAAATGGTCCTCCAAATGGGAAGGTCCATTCAGAGTTCATTAAGTCATATCTGGGGATGCCTATTTACTACAAAAGTTAGATAGGGAAATGTTTCCAAGGGCACTTAATGGAAAGTTCCTAAAACAGTATAACCCAAGTATATGGGAACAATATAAGAATTTACAACAAAGGCATCCATCATTAAAGGCCTTTGACAAATAAAATGTATTGTTTACAAGCGAAGGGACTTTTCTGCTATTACTTTACGTTTAACCTCAGAAAGAAGAACCTTGCATTTGTTCATCAACGCCATCTGTTTACCATTGTGATCAAACTGAGACAAAGTTTCTTGAACTATTGGAGCACTCTAAGATATCTAGCGCGTCAATTATTTCTTCTCTCTTCTGCGATACTGATGCTTTTGCTCTACCATAGCTCTCTTCGCCTGAAGTTTCTTCTCCTTTTCCGTGATCTCATCAATCTCAGTGCGCAGGTGGTCCATTTCTACGTCTAACTCTAGGTCTTTCTTCTTCAAATGATCTCGCTGTTGGAAAACTTGGGACACTTGCTAGGATATATCAGAAATCATTAAAGGAGAATGAGATGATCTTTTATTGGCCAATTCAACAGCACATGCCTGACAGGCGATGGATAAGTCTTCCCATACAACTCTACTCTCTGACATAAGAGCTAGAATTTCTTTAAGAAGCTTGAGCTCTAGAGATGTAGATGCCGGGATTTATATGTTCAATAGTTAAATGTGAGTCAAGTGAAGGCTAAATAAGCATGATAACTTTACAAGGCTGGAATGCTTACTTTCATTTGACGTTTTCACTGTTGAAGTCTTGTTGCTCTGAATATCTTGATCAAAGGTTGTCATGCTAAAAATAATAAAGCATATTAGACATCTGCAAGGAGACAAAAAAGGAAAACTCTTATCATTTACCTAAATCTAGATATGAACTCCTTTCTACAAGAGCCTCCTCAAAAAGGCTTGATTTTGTAGTATTAATCTGAGGCTCAGTATCCCTAGTTCGAACATTTATGGTGTCACTCTGCACCATCACTGGAATGAACTCCATGATTTCTAATTTGACTTCATCATGAATCCCCACCTCTTGCCCTTGAATCATTATAGAAGGTGTGCTTATTCAGGCAATGATACTAAAGTTGGAATGAATGGAGAGTCATTATTCCTTTGCTCAGCACCATCCTAGACAATTTATCCCTTGTCACGAATAGCAACAGAAGGTTGTTTCGACTCAAGCATGCACTTTAAAGTAACAAGCAACGGATCAGAAACTAGGGGGCATCAATATCAACATTAGCATCGATAGTTTGAGCAGGCTGGTCTGTTTGTATGGAGATAGGAACTTCAGATTACTATGACTTAATAGAAGAAACTGGAGCTTTGAGTTTTAATTGGCAAGGACTTGCTTTTAAATCCACTTCACCTTCAATGTTTGAGGCTCTAAGTTTATTGCCAGATAATGAACCACAACTCAATGGTTGTTTGTCTGAAACAGCGCCCTTGTTGTTAGATGAACCAACATCAACATGACCTTTTCTCTTCTTCTTATCAGGTCCTTGATTTGTTGGAGAAAGTACAAGATCACGAGTGGGTGATTTCTCAAATGACAGCAGGCTAGAAGTAGCAGTTTTCTCTAAGAGATCTAAACGGCTTACTGTATTTCCTAACTCTTCGCCATCACTTTCAATTAAAATAGGGTTAGAAGGCGTGGTCTTCTCTAGAGATTTTTGTTTCTTTTTAGTATTGGTAGCCGGACCTAATATGAAGGAAATCATAGTGGGTAACAAGGTATAAGAAGCTTGAACAAATTAGAGTTAATGCATTTACTGGTAAGAGGGATATCAGTAGTTTCCGGCTCTGGTTCTGTTTTTAATGCAGATTGTAACCTTGCGCTGAGACTTGACGTGGGGATATTCCTATGCCTGTTACTCCTTGATTTCTGTAAGGAACTTGGGGTCAAAAAAGAGACTATATCTTTCACAATCCAACCCTATTGATGTGAGGATGAATGATACTTTTGTGTAATTCATCTATGGCCATAGGTTCATAATTAAACTCTACAGCATTCTTAGATGAGCGATTCATCTGATGGTAAGCAATCTTACCTTTCATTTTGATTGAAGACACAACAGTCTTTTTTTGACCTGAAAAGTAGATTGTGAGTGGAAAATAAGAAGCAAGTGAAGGAAACACTTAGAGGAACTCATATCTTTATAGTTGCCCACACTCACAGCAAAGTGTGCCTTGGCATCTTCAACAGCATGAGCTTGAAGTGGTCCATGATACCACCATTCCATATAACTCAAGGAAACCACATCACTTGATTTCCTGGGTCGTAAAATGAATTTAGGATATGTGAGGGAGTCACTCTTTCAAACATCTTCTTCATGGAATTTTGGCCGAGAATCCCAAGGAATGTTACATGTGGTGAATAGGGGGATAGCAAGAGACTAGCACAAACGAAATTGTTTGGCTACCATCTGAGGGTTGTAGGCTTTAAAACTAAAATGTTCTGGCTCTCCTGCAGGTAAATCTCTAGAAGCCAACATAGAACAACGAAAAGGGGAGTCCTCATCAAAAGTTACCCTAATGCCTACCTTTTTGAGCCATTTTAGAGTTGCATCAAAGACCCATACACTGTTAGGATCCAGATTATCTTTTCGGTTCACGATATACCAACTAATTGGTAAAGGGTCTAACCCTAGCAGACAATGCATAACAAGATTGGGTTTAGGAACTTTTTGGTGGTCAAAATAGTTGAAGCATATCTCAGCATATGAACAACTATTCACTTCCAAAGTTTTCTTCCTACAGTCAAGTTTGGATACGTACAAAGATGACTCGGCTGCCATCTCTTTCTTAACTTCCTCCTCGGTTTTCTCCATACACAAAGTATTGTAGAGATGACACCAATAGGTGACCAACCACAATGGTCCACCCACATTTTCTAAGCTCTGACCCTCATTGAGAGTTTCCCTACATCTAGACATACATCTGTACAATTGTCCTAACAAGATTAGACCTAGCACTAAAAAAGATTTACTATGGGAAATGTTCACTGCAAGTGGCAATAACAACGCAAAAATATCATTAGACTTGCACATCATTAAACGAGTAAGAGCAAATAAAATGAAAATTACTTCTTCTTCCTACAACACCTTGCCATAATATGATGATGATGTAAAGTATGAGATATAGGCATTGAAGCCGATCTTGCTACTTTTGGACGTTGCTAACAACTGCTTATATAAAGGTCCAGCACCTTCAATCAGGCTGAACACTCTGATTTGTTGAACTTTATCACCATAAGGTGATAGAGTAGTGAGGAAGGCCATATCAACAAGGGTGACAGTCATGCAACCCTGGCGCGGGATGAAACAGTTTAACACGGATCCTAGAGCGATATAAGGGCACATGTTAGCGATCCGTTGAATGGAATCTTGACATACGTCGACAGTCTAAGGAAACAAAAAATTCTCTTCTTCTCCCAAGAGGAGTATGATAGGAATGGTGTCCTTCCAACAAGTGTATTATTCTGATAGAGGGTTCGGAATTATTAGAAAGTTAATTATTCAGTGAGGTCAAGTGATTCGAATGCCTAGGTGGAGGCCGCTTCTGATCAGTAATATTAATGTACAATTAATATTTCGGCTTAATCTTAACTAAACCCTTCGAGTCGCACCCAATCGAACAACCGATCCGAGACGACGAATAAATCCCAAGGATTAGATGACTCATTAGAGTATTATGAACAAAGACGTCGGATATCGAGCTTAGAGCGTCCAGACCGAGCGTCGCAATCAAGGAAGCGACAAGTTCGAGCCAAGCCGTAGCCTCGCATTGGCCTAGCTATATGATGGTTGGGCTAAGCGAGGTTACCGACCCATGGGTATCATGGGAGCCTAGCATCGCCTAGCACACGCACGTCGCATGGCACAAGCATCGCAAGATGCGTGCATGCGTGTATGTGGTGTGGCTGTGCATGCATGGATGGGCGTGCTAGAATAGCAGCGCCAGACATCGTATCATGCTGGGCATGGGCTAAGCACAGCCCGCAAGCATCGCAAGCATGGTCCCTTGCGTGCTTGCTAGCATGCTAGGCGAAGCACCCAGCCCCTCAATAACATGAAGCATCGCACAAACTAGCAGCATGTTGTGCATGCGAGTGCTTGGTTATGCGTGCTTGCGAGGTGAGCAGCGCCTAGCACTAGCAGCAATTGCTGGGCAGCGCCCAGCATACGCTATGTAACAGCAGCACCCCGCATGACATGCATGGCTTGCTGGCTATGCACATGCGTGTGCAGGCTGGCCTGCTAGCACAGCCAAGGCGCCAGCTAGGCTGCCTTGGCAGCCAGCTGTACCTAGGTCAGCTCACGGTCAAGGAGGGGACCAAAGGGGGTTGGTGCTTGGCTTGGGGAGCAAGGTGATTTGGTCCCCCCCCGGATGGTCCTCACCTACTCTCTCCCTCCTTGTGACACTTGGAGCTTGTTGATTGCTTGGTGTTTCATTTTGTTTTTGATTAAAAAAATGAGGGGAAAATGCAAATCTCCCACGTTGATGGGAGAAGGGAGATCAAGTCTCCTTTCCCTATAAATACCCATGTTTTGGGTGTTGGGAAAAACACTTGAGTGGAACTAAAAAGGCATCTCCTTGCAAAGTGAGAAAACCTTAAGTTCGTAATACTCTAGTTTTATTTGGTCAAGTCCCGACTAACCTTCAGGAATAAAATCGTTCGGGTCGGGTCGAGGGTGCGAGCCGTAGGAGGCCTTCGCACTTGCGAGGCTGGAGCTTTGAAGTAAGAGCTCGTGAATCGAGGGAAGCACGCGTCAAGGGTAAGAATGTCTTTTCTCTTTCTCTCTCTTATGTTGTTAATTACGTGATTACATGTGTAGTGTCTTTAATTAGTGAGCGGGTCTTGGGCGGGTTTATCTTCCGCGTAG